ATTTAAAATGAAAAGATATCATGATTAGAGTAGTTATAAATATTTTATATTATTAACTTTAATGAAATACATGTTAATTTATATACATATATTATATAGTTTGCTAATGTTAATCCGTCTTACCAACATTTTAGATTTTATTTTTGAACATAAATATTTTATACTTACAAAAATAAAATATAGAAATTTATCAATTTAATATAATTTTATTATATTTAGCTCAATATAATGATTTTATTTTAATATGATTGATTAATATTATATAATTGATAAAATATGATATAATTTTATTTATAAACGTTAACTGAATATATTAATGTATATTAATATTTCAAACTAATTTCGAAATTAGTGAAAATATTTAAATATAATATCGCAAATGAAGATCTTGTAAAAATATTTTAAAATAGATATTTTAAAAAGTTTATATAAATATATTTATATTTAAATGAAAAGATACCAAATATGTTTGGATTGAAATATTTTAAATTTTTTATATATTATTAGTCTTAATAAAATACAATTAATAAAATTTCTAAATTGTATTAGTTCAATCTTAATAAATTTTTTATATATTATTAGTCTTAATAAAATACAATTACCTTTATTGTATTAGTTCAACAATTGAAAAAATTATTTAACAAGTACACTAAATCTAATCTAAGTGAATCTGGTGTAGAGGAGAGATTTTGGGCATCAACAGTAACTATATCAGTATATATCGTCAATCGTACTCCTTCATTTACCAAATGAATTATAGTTAGGGAAAACACATGGTATGAACATTCATTGGATATCCTCTTGAGCTACAAGATACAGACTCTAGATACTAGCAGAAAGAAAAGTATCATTAGTAACCAATAAGAATAATGTATACTGAGAATATCTGTTGCACAAATAACCGATTCAAGAGAATAAAAAAGAAATCGAAGTTGTCAGAAATACTATGGAGGTTGACGAGAGTTTTGGTACATCTGCATAGGAGCATTCTGAAGGCAGAGTTGTGAATACAGTCTGATACACGTCAAAGTACAAATGATGCATAGGATTTGAAGAATTAACTTGCAAGAGATAAACGCGAAGAAAGATAGTAAACCCATCTAGGTATACAGAAGAAGATGCAATTGCTAGGACTAGACAATGTTATTTGCTACTTGGCTTGTACTCATTAACTGCTTAATATTTGATTTGAAAATAAAATATTTGATATTGTCAAGTCAAGTAATAAAGTAATAATTTTCTTACTTGCAAATCTCAGTTAAATACCATTAAATATATATATATATATATACATATGTATTATTATTTTTTTGCTAATTAATATCATCAAATATTATTATTTTTATTACTTGTCTGTTCAATTCTCACACTATTTATGATTTATTTTAGTAAAGATTTATTGTTCGCTACTTTTCACTCGTTAAAAATTACTTAATTTATGTATTTATATTTCATATATTTGCAAGTAATCAATTTTATAGATAAGTATTTGATTTGGCAAGTAACAAGGCTAATGTTGTCAATATTTGTTGATAAGGATCTAGAATTGGAACAACTTTAGAGGAAGACAACTTTCCTTCATCAATACTATTAAAACAAAAATAATTTTTATTTACTTACAAATATATTAGGTTATAACATTACATTTAACTAACTTTTCTATTATTTTTACTTATATCTAACTAAGTTATTATTAAATTAGGAAGTAAATAAGTAATTTATTTTTAAATAACAAATTCAAATTATATTAACACTAAATTAGTAACTAATTAATTATATTATATTTATTAATATAAAATAAATATATACCTACAAATTTGTATATATACAACTGTACTTTAACTCAAATGCAAGAAACAAATTCTTCAAAATCCTCACCAAATACATATTTATCAAATATAAAACTAATTAAACAAAACATAATACACACTTTAAGTTATGTTTGAGAGTTTAGGTACATGTTAGGATACAAATATGTTATTTTGAGTTTCGGTTCTGATTAATATCACATCTTATGTCTCTTTTTGGTAAATCTGTAAGTATGGATGGGTTCAGATTTAACCCATCAGTTTTGGCTTAAATATATATCACGTCCTAAAATCCATAAAATAACCATATATCATTCGGATACATTTATTGGTTCAGTTCAGGTATATCTAAAATTAAATCCAATATTTGAAACAAAACATAAGAAATAAATACTTATTATAGAGATTTGGATATTTAAGGTACTTATTTAAAATTTAAATATTTATTTTAGATATCCTTTCAAAATAAATAAATTATTTAAATATGAAGTATATATATATATATATATATATATGTTTCAAATATTTATATTTCTGATTAATTTAGATATTCAGATCAGTTTTTATTTTATTTTTTTTCTTCTGATTTTTTTTAGTTTTTTGGGTTACTTGTTCAGGTTTAGCTAATAACATTTTGAGTTCACATATGTTTTGTACCATTATACAAGATTCATTTTGGTTGGGTATGGATCTAGTTTTTTGTTTGTGTTCGGTTTAGATTTCGAATTATAAATTTTATGCTCAAATCTACTTTAAACAAAGAGAAAACGATTATATAATCTGTTTATTGAAATATTTTCATGTGCTTTGAAAATGCATATCTAATCAAAATCTAGTAATTCTATTGATATATACGTGGAACAACTTAAAAGGAGGGGGGGGGGTATTGAACTAGATATTTAGATTTTAGAGTGATTTGGGTTTTAATAAGAACTAGATTTTGATCCGCGCTTTCAAAGCGCGGGTTTATGTTTGATGTAAATTTTATATAATTGCAGTTCCTATACATGTAGAAATGTGGGATAAACTTAACTAGATTGGATCCGTAACCGGTCAAAAATTATATCAGAATGAGTTTTATAGGGTGGTACAAAAATATCCGAATCAAAGTGTTATTAGCCAGACCCGAACGAATAACCCAAAAACCAAAAAAAAAAAACTGGAAAAAATCTGAATTGATCTGAATGTCTAAATTAATCATAAATATAAATATTTGAAACATAAATATCTAGTTTAAATATTCAGTTCTATATTTATTTTAAAATGATATTTAAAATTAATTATCTAAATTTTAACTAAGTATTTTAATATCCAGTTCTATAAAAATAAGTATCTTTCTTTTGTTTTGGTTTTACATTTTAGATTGCTAAGCCATTATAACCCGAATCCGAACGATATATGGTTACTTTATCGGTTTTAAGATGTGTACAAATTAGAACCAAACCCGACGTGTTATATTTGAATCTGATCCATACTTACAAACATGTCTACTTAGACACATATGATGTGATATAAATTAGCTTTGATTCAAAATATTCGACCCGTATCCCAATATGTACTTGAACTCCCAAGCATAACTTAAATTATGTTTTATATTTTGTTAAATTAATTTTATATTTATCAAATATTTTGTCTGTTTATTGGAATAACCCGTAAAATTATAATCATAAAATATCAGTAATAACATGTTTCATCATATAATGAAATATTAATAGTAGCTATTATCAATATTTATTTTATTAAAATTATATATATAAACGATTTTAACTTTATCTATGATAATTATTTTATTATGTATTGGTGGAGGTTTGAAAAAAATGTTTATTATTATTATTTTGTGTATCGGTTACATATAATTAAATGTTAGTTTATTATATCCTAATGTTTTAATTTAGATATGTATATTTAAATATAAAATTATTTCATTTTTAATATTTTATAGTAGTATTTTGTTATTCTATAAATGTAATTCATCTAGTTTATAATTTATAAAGTAGATTAATATATATTAGAATTATTATTTTATGTAATTTTTAGTTACAAATATGAAATATTTTTATATAAATGTTATAGAAAGTTAGTTCTTATTCTATAAATCAAAATAAGTTAATACACATTTATGATTTAATTTAATATTATATACGTTTTTATTATTAAAATAATATTAAAACAATAAAAATATATTTTTAAAATAAAAATATATTAAAGATATTGTTAAAATGTAATCTGAAAAAGTAGTTAAGAATATCTTTTTGATATCTTATTTTATATTTAAATATTATATTAATATTATGTTGTTATTTAATAATAATAATAATAACTAAATTTGTTATATGTAATATAACATAAAATTAAATAAATGTAATGTTTTGAGGTAAACTACTTGCAAGTAGATAATATAACATAAAATTAAATTAATAGTATTGATTTGGAAGATTTTAATGGTTTTGGGTGATTTTAAAGTAGTTGTTATAATTTTGTATCAAAATCTTCTGAAATTCTATCTAAAAACATGAGATTTAGATCTTTATATATTTAAGTAAAGAAATTTTCAAAAATCCTTTGCAGTCATTAAAATTCCAATACTTAATACATTTTCAATAACAGTGGATTTGATATAATTTTAACAAATTACTGTTTGAATAACATAAGATTTTAAATGATTTCAAGTGACTTTACATAAATTTCATGTTCAATAACACTGAATTTTAGAAAGATTTTTAAAATTCTTATTTGAATAACAGAAGATTTTAATAAAAACTTAAAAGTCTCCTAAAATCATTGATTCAATACATCCCCAAAAGTTATGAGGTAGATGGAAAAGATAAAGCGTGCAAATTGGTGAAGTCCCATATGGGTTAAATCTCAATTTTTTTTTATGGAAAGAATTTCAATTAACGGATTGAGTTGACAAAAAAACAAACGGATTGGTAGTTTTTTTGCAAAATCAAAACGGATTGGTAGTTGAAAGTGATTTAGATCAACTTGAAGGGTTTAATCTCTAATTCCTTTTTATTGAAATAATATTTTGTATTCAGAAGCCCTAATAAATAAAGATATGGAAAATTTACTGAAGAGGAAGCAAAATATGTAAAGATTCTAATCGAACGGTCACGATTGAAACTTCCTATATAACCAGATTTAACATCTCTAGGGCAACTCCATAAACCTAATTCAGTTTCGCCATTAGTAGTGGTAGCAACCGCAAATAACTCTTCAAACCCCAAACTTCTCTCTCTCTCTCTCTCTCTCTTTCTCTCTTTCTATCTTTCTCTATCTCAATCTCTCTATCACTAATGGCTGACACGAAGGTCCAATCCCCTGAAACAACGGCGGTTGAGGATAACAAACGAATAACCTCATCATCCCCCACGCCGCCGCCGCCACCGCCACCATCATCTCACTGGATGGGGATGAGATACCCTTCACCGATGGTGATGCCTCACCAGATGATGTATGCGCCGTCTCCTTACTCTCCTTATCCTTTTCCTTATCATCATCATCATCACCATCACCAGTCTCGTGGTGGTGGTAACAAACATCAAAACGCTTCGAACGCTGAGAATAAGACTATTTGGATCGGTGATTTGCTTCACTGGATGGATGAGAGTTACCTTAATTCTTGCTTCTCTTCCGCTGGAGAGGTCTCTGCTTCACTCTCTCTCTTTTTTTTTTACTTTTGTTATTTATAAAGTTTTCGTCTTTTAATGTGTTTGACTTTTGCGATAAGTAATTGGTAGCTTCTGTTTGATTAAAGTTTGATTCTTTCGATGTTTTTTTTATGTAATGCATGATAGTACTGAAAGTGTCCATTTTTATTACCGAATTTGTCATGTTTGTTCTGTCTATATAACTGCTTAGCCTTGGTTTAAATTTGTTAAATTTAATTGAAGTGAAAGTGTCTATTTTTATTTCCCAATTTGTCATGTTTGTTCTGTCTTGATAACTGCTTAGGCTTAGCCTTGGTTTAAGTGTGTTAACTTTAATTGAAGTTCCAAATTTAAGCAAAAAAAAAAAACTTTAATTGAAGTGAAAGTGTCCATTTTTATCACCGAATGTGTTATGTCTGTTCTGTCTTTATGACTGCTTAGCCTTCGTTTAAATGTGTTAACTTTAATTGAAGTGAAAGGGTCCATTTTTATTACCCAATATGTCATGTTTGTTCTGTGTTAATTTTAATTGAAGCTGGAGGATAAGTTTTGGTAGCTTTTGTTCTGTTTAAATAAAGTTTGATTCTTTGGATGTTATTTCTGTTTTAATGATAGTACTGAAAGATTCTATTTTTATTACCGAATGTGTCATGTATGTTCTGTCTTTATGTCTGCTGAGCCTTCGTTTAAATGTGTTAGACTTTATTTGAAGCTGGACGATGAGTTTTGGTAATAAAGTTTGATTCTTTTGGATGTTTTTTTTTCTGACGTAATGCATGGTAGTACTGAAAGTTTTCATTTTTATTGCCGAATGTGTCATGTCTGTTTTGTCTTTTATGTGTGTATGTCTGTTCTGTCTTTTATATGTGTATGTCTGCTTAGCATTCGTTTCGTTTAAATGTGTTGACTTTTTCAATACTGATGTTAGTTAAGCTGGAAAATAACTTTTGGTAGCTTCTGTTTGAATAAAGTTTGATTCTTTGGAAGCTTTTTGTACTGAAAAGTTATGATAGTACTGAAATTTTTCAGTCCATTTTTTCATTTCTTAAATTTGTGTTGAAGCAAGACGATAAGTTTTGGTAATAAAGTTTGATTCTTTGAATGTTTTTCTTTGATGATTAATGCATGATAGTACTGAAAGTTTTCATTTTTATTGCCGAATGTGTCATGTTTGTTCTGTCTTTATGTGTGTATGTCTGCTTAGCCTACATTTAAATGTGTTAAGACTTTTAATTGAAGCTGGAAAATAACTTTTGGTAGATTCTGTTTGAATAAAGTTTGATTATTTTTTCTGCTGAAAGTTATGATAGTACTGAGTGTGTTCAATCCATTTTTTTCATTTCTTATTTTTTCTGAGTCTAATATATGCTATATACTTTGTAGTTTTTTTCTCTGTGGTGATGTGTATTGACTCTATATTTTATGTTGCTTGTCATGATGTAGATGTCGTCGGTGAAGGTGATCAGGAACAAGCACACTGGCTTGTCCGAGGGATATGGATTCGTGGAATTTGAGTCCCACGATGTTGCTGAGAAGGTGTTACAGGATTTTAATGGAGTAACTATGCTTAAGTCTGACCAGCCTTACCGTCTAAACTGGGCTAGTTTTAGCTCTGGTGAAAAACGCTCAGAGAATGGTCCTGACCACTCTATATTCGTGGGTGACTTAGCGCCAGAAGTCACTGATGATTTGTTGCTTAAAACGTTCGTTGATAAATACCCATCTGTCAAGGCTGCGAAAGTTGTCATAGATGGCAGTACTGGTCGATCAAAGGGGTATGGCTTTGTGAGATTTGGAGATGATAGTGAGAGGAGCAAAGCTATGTCGGAGATGAATGGTGTGAAGTGTTGTAGCAGGGCTATGCGAATCGGTGCCGCCACTCCTAGGAAACCTAATGGTTACCATCATCAAGGTAAATGATCTTGTTGCTTTCATTATCATTTGTGTCTCTTAATATTTGTGGGTTTTGTCAGGTGGGTATATGTTAAATGGTGGTGCTGCTCCTCCACGTGATGGGGACTCATTGAACACAACAGTAATTTTGTTTATCCCCTTATGTTTTTCATGACTTTAGCTGTAAGAAGGTTGGTATGATCTCTACTTATATGTGTTGATATTGCAGATATTTGTTGGAGGACTTGACGCTAATGTCACTGACGAAGATCTTAGACAGCCATTTGCTGGTTATGGTGAGATAGTATCTGTCAAGATACCAGTTGGGAAAGGATGTGGGTTCATTCAGTTTGTGAACAGGTACTATTTTGAGGAAATTGGGGATATGTTTTAAGTGAATAGTTTTCATTCCTTTGCCTCTTGTCAACTTTTGTTGCAGAGAAAATGCAGAGGAGGCTTTGGAGAAGCTAAATGGTTCTGTAATTGGAAAACAAACCGTTCGTCTTTCTTGGGGTCGTAATCAAGGCAATAAACAGGTATGCTTTCTTTGGTTTACATGCTCATCATTTGTTGCTTGTATCTGATTTGTGTATGGTTGTTCTAATGCAGCCTCGAGGTGGGTATGGAGACCAATGGGTTGAACCGTTCTACAGAGGACAATACTACAATGGTTATGGATACATGATGGCACCACCTATTGACCCGAGAATGTATGGTGGTGCACCTTATGGAGGTTATCCTATGTACGGAGGTCATCAGCAGCAGCAGCAACAACAGCAACAAGTAAGCTGAGAGAAGAAGAATAAAAGAAGTGAAGGTAGGTTATGAGACTAAAATTGTCTTATTCTTATCTGTCTCTTTGGTTTTAGATCCTGAGCAGCGAATTTTGATGGAACTGTAGTGCTACTTATTTCTATTTTAGGGATTTTGATTGGATTTATTTATTTTATTTGACTCTCAGATTTTTAATGCTATGGATCTTAATTGATTGTTCTTTGGGGGATTTGATAAGTCTGCCTTTTTAGATATATCTTACGACTAGATTCATAAAATTAAAATCATGATTTATGACCTAGTCCATCCTTCAAAAACTATTAGCTATACTATTTATGATTTTCTATAGGCTTCCGAAACACCTTGGTTTTTCTATAGGCTTCCTAATCACCATACTGTTTTTTTTTTCCATCTATATAAAGCACAACACATCATATTAAGGCAAATGAGTTTTTGGTCTAGTTGCGTTTTGGCTGTTTTGAGTTTTAAAGTTGTGAAGAGCTAGAAGTTTCTCTTGTTTACGTAAACAGATCGAAGTTGACATAAGGATAAGAAAGTGGACTCAAGATAAGATAACAATCACAGAGAGGAACAGAACATCTTAAACCTCGTCAAGTTCTGAGATGGGTGAAATGGATACAAATTTATCTGATTCGCAAAGGTTCATTTTGGGATATCAAAGAGAATACAATAATAGGATATTGGATGTGGAAAAAGATTTCCTTAAAGCAAGAAGATTTCATAGAGTAGATGTCAAGAATGGTGAAGCTACCTTCTTCTGGCACGGTAAATGGTGTTCTATGGGTTGTTTACTAGAATTGCAACAACTTCAACGGTGGCAAAATGGAACCCAGCCATCAATCCTAGATTCCTACATGTGTGATAGAATGCTAAAATGGAACCCAGCCATCAATCCTACATGTGTTCTCTGCCAGCAACATGTGGAGACAAGGAACCATCTGTTTTACTCATGCACATTTTCTAGCCAGATTTGGCAAAGATTGATGAGAGGTTTGCTTCAGTCTAGATACAGAGGAATGGGAGGATATTATTGCTCCTCTTCTGGATCATAGACAGGACAGTATACAAATTTTCTTGCTGAGATATGCTTTTCAAGCATCGGCTCATACGATTTGGAGGGAAAGAAACCGACGCAAACATGGTGAAAAACAGCTTCCGTACACACTCTTGCTCAAGATCATTGACAAAAACGTTAGAAACAGGCTCTCTACTATTAAGAGACAAGGAGAGATCATAAGATAGATGCAGGTGTTAGCATATGGTTTGGAACAAGAGGATGATTTATTAAGATAGAAGATTAGTCAAACTCTTTACATTTCAATCACAAAGTAACATCATATGTAAACAAGGTTTTGGATAAATAAAATTTAACATTTATTAAAAAAAAGGAATATCATAAACCTTAAACGACAAATAGCGTAGGAGCATCCACATCAATGAACCCCCTCTTGGGGTTCATTGATTCAATTGTTTATTATTAAAAAAATTTGATTTTCTTTTTGATCTTTTTTAAAAAAAAAAAAAAAATTGACCAACCGCGGGTCGCCACGTGTCCCGGGACCCGTGCTACAGTGATGAATCGGGTTCACCGCAGAGAGTCTGCAAGAGGCAGGTTCATCACTATTCCTTATTTTAATATTTTTTTTTTTTAAAACTGTGTGAACCCATCTGAACCTTTGATGGGATGCTCTAAGGTCATACCTTAACTAGGTTCCAGTCCACGTTAAAATTTTGATGGCATGTCAATTACGTATAGGAAAAGCGACAAAAGCTTGATGTGTGAACTGTACCACAACATTACTTAAGATGGTATTATTATGTTAGTATGCATGGTTTTAGTGAACATTTAACAACCGTTTTTTTTTTAAACCATTTCAATAACGTTATGTATATTATTTTCTAACTAATTAAGGATGGTTTTTAAGATGTAAATTTTAATTTTAATGCCGGTTACAAAAAAAAACTTAAACTCTTAAAACTATAATTTGAAATACTTTGAATTTAGCTAACTAGTTTAATAAAATATTAAATTCAATTCATCATGAACATTAAATCTTTGCATAAATAATTTGGTAGTCGTTGCTTGTTATCAGTGCTTGGTCAAGATCTTATCATGTGATCCATGAGCCACACCGATCCATTTTCCTACCAGAAGTATTATTATGTCTACAAATAAACAAAAATTAAATTGACATCTAAGATTGTTCTAACGACACAATTGAAAAAGACAAAATTAAAGAGATGAAGAGGTTCGTCTCCACCGCTACGTTCGCTCATCATGCCCACATCTTTCATTACTATTCTTGTGCTTTTCTGTACGGATCTACCTCTTTCCCATAATAATTATTTTTGTATCAAACAGTTCTTTCATTTCCAAAATCTAAGTGCATTATATTCAATCATAGGAAGAAAAAAATAACATTTAGTAAGTGTTGGCCGATTAGGTAGAAACGTAGTTGGTATTATCCATAGCCATTATGTAAACAAAAATAATTTTAAATTGTTGTTATGATATATGATCTGGCATACACGTTCGAGAACAACCTTACGATAGCGAAAGTGTCCAAACCAAGCGTATAGTTTCTTTCGTTATGAAATTTTTTCAGACGGAACATGTGACAAACATATCATCCATGTAGCACCGATTCACTTCAAGAGGCATGCACACACAAAGGGTTTGGCTAGTCTTTAGATTTTGTAGTGCATAAACTGACCGAGGTGGCATCACGCTTATGTATGCGACTTTGTTCTCGCTTTTCCTTTTTCTCTACCTTCACCACTGATTTATCTGGAATTGAAAAACCGAACTGAACTGAAAACAGGTTTGATTTGGGTTTTTGGATTCTAGAGATATATGATCAAAACCTAAAAAAAACTCTACTCGGTTTGGTTCCAGATAATTATATCCAGAGTTATGATTTTGATTTGACTTGGTCTCGGTCATTTTCTGCTTGATCTGGAGTTGATACGTTGGGCTCGAAGTAACTTTTTACTTCGGCAAAATAGTTGGGTCTAAGTAATAAATGTTTTGAATAAATTTTTGAAGAATCAAATTGATTTGCTAAATCCTGCTTAGGCCCATTCAGATTATTTGAAAATTTGGTTCGGGACCGGTTCGGATTCTATCGGGTTCGGGTTGGGGTTAGTAAATCTTGAAAGAACTGATATAACCCGTTGTTTCGGGATCGGGTCCCAATCGGTTCTTCGGTTTAAAAGTATATGGTTTGTACTTACTTTGTAACCAAAACATAAGTAAAATTGATTCAAAAGTAAGAAAAAAAATATCAGATATGATCATTCAAAATCAAACGAAAAAATAAATATAGTTATTGGTATAAAGAAAATCAAATAAATGAAAGCATAAAACAAAAACCAAATTCTTAAAAAATGAGAAACATTATTAAATAAAAACAAAATCTAAATTTAAAAACTTCAAGCTTCAACCGCCACATTCAACCATCAACCTTCATGTAACATGAAATTACTTTAGATGTTCACTAATAACTTAAAGCATTTTGGATATATATTAGTAATTGAGATCATGTTTAGTATATGTTTTTTTAAGGATTTTGAATGTTTCGGGTTTCATCGGATATCCATTTAGTTTTGGATTCAGTTCGGATAATACCCATAACCCAAATTATCATAAAACAAGATCCATTCGGTATTTATGTCGAGTTCGGATCGATTCGGATTCATTTTTATCGGATTGGGTTCGATTCAGATTTTTGGGTTCGATTTATTTGCCCAGCCCTAATCCTGCTAATAAACACTTTTGATGTGTTGACAAAAGAAAAACACTTGTGATGTCTTTTCCGATAACTTTTTCTTTAACAACTTTTTTTGAAGCACTAAAAATTATAACGCCTTCAATAAATCATGTAACCGATCGGATCGCAATACTATTATTTTTTCTAAAAGAAAATGTATATCTTTTGTTGTTGTCTTCGCCTATATACCGCTATATGTCCGGGACCATGTGCATTTTAACTTAGAAAATGGGTGTTGTTACCATGATGCCTAGAGTGTTCGGCTAAGTGGACTAGCCACCACACTATGGCTCCTGGTCCCGGTTCTGGTCCTGGCCCTGACCATCACAAATCTAATATTGATGACAATGCATGAGTACTTATATTAAAATATAATTAACAAAAGTATTTAAAATAATTTTAAAAATATAAAATACAGGCGACCGACCGTTTCACCGCTCCTTCTGAAATCCCTCACTTATTTCACATAAAACAAATCAAGAAAGACCTTACAGGAAGCTGAAGACGAAACTAACACACCAAATCTTCATCTTCTTTAACTGTCTCCATCTACACATACAAACAAACACTCCCTGCAAATACTTAATTATTAAACCAGCTTCCATATAACCAGATGTAATCTCATTGCTTCAAATTCAATTTGATCGTCACCTTTGAATATTCCTCTTCCTCTGTGGTTAATCATTCGAATTTGGATTCTACAGATTTGGATAATTCGGTGACCAAGAAGATGATGAGTAATAGCAGTAGCAGCAGCAGTAGTGGTAGTACAAGAGGCGCAAAAGCTCCTTCATCAACACATACCAAAATTGTGAGTTAGGAATATCAATCGTTTTGATCTGTTTTTTATCTTTAAATTATTTTATTTTTTCGGATATTCAGAGTCTGATCATCGTTTCATATTTGCATTCTTCAGTTAATTATAGAGTTTGTGTTTCTGCTGTGATTTTGAAAAAAAATTCAAAATCTGATCCTTCAATTTTTTTATCATTATTGTTGTTCCATTTCTTGTAAATTTTTTTAATTGAAGAATCCGTCTGGTTCTGAGATTGTTGAATAGCTACAAAAGTATGATTCATGAGCTTATTGATGCACAGGGGAAGAAATTAAACAGTGGTGAAAATAGCGTTGTAAATCGAAAGAAGCTGAATCGAGAGATGATCACTGCTCTGCAACAAGATGTAAGTACCATCCACTTTTTTTTAAGGTTTCATCTATAAAGTTATTGTCCACTTTTGTTTTTTAGTTACTAAGAGTGGATGTAAATTTTTATTTAAAGGTTGAAAAACTGAGGAAGAAGCTTAGACTTGAAGAGAACATACACCGAGCAATGGAAAGAGCATTTAACAGACCTCTTGGAGCTCTTCCTCGTCTTCCTCCGTTTCTCCCTCCAATGGTTAGTACCTCACATGATGCCTCTCTGATTAAAATTGGGGTTGATCTTGATTTGTTCTTGTAGACTTTGCAACTACTTGCGGAAGTGGCTGTTCTTGAAGAGGAAATTGTTCGGTTAGAAGAACATATTGTGGGTTTTAGACAAGAATTGTATCAAGAAGCAGCATTTACATCTTCCAAAACAAACATAGAT